CCCTCAGCTCTTCAGCTCAAGGCTAGCACTCTACCACTTGAGCCACAGCGCCACTTCTGGGTTTTTTCTTTTTGCTTATGTGGTGCTGAGGAATCGAACCCAGGGCCTCAGGCATTCAAGGCAAGTGCTCTACCACTGAGCCACCTTCCCAGCCTCTAAAAGTTTTTTAATGAGTCTGGGGAAAACAAATGGCCAAACGCAATAGCTATTTATTTCTCACAGTTGTTATTAAATAGGACGTAATGAAGTATATACTAGGAGCTCAGAGCTTGCTTTCCTGCTTTCTGTTCCCTGCTGCCCAACTAGAAGTCTTTGGGTGAGGCAGCGGGATGTTGCTCAATGCGCATTCCTGCCTGGTGTGTGAGGGCCTGAACCACTGAGCCCCCACAGTTTACTGCTGTGGTTTTCACTTCATACTGTCTGCCTGCTGTATTTACCCAACTTTTAACTTCTTTCTAGGTATTTTTTGATTTAATGAGGGAAATTCGAGCCAGAAAGATGGAAGACAGCAAAGAAAAGAACGGAAAAAAGAAGAGGAAAAGTTTAGCCAAGAGAATCAGAGAAAGATGCTGCATTTTATAATCAAAGCCCAAACTTCTTTCTTATCTTGACCATACTAATAAATATAATTTATAAGCATTGCCATTTGAAGGCTCAATTGACTGAAATTACTTTAACATTTTGGAAATTGTTATGTATCACTAAAAGCATGAATTGGAACTGCACTGAAAGTCAAATTCACTTAAAAAAGAAATTAATGTGGCTTCACCAAGAAGCAGAGTTCAACTCCTTTCATAATTGCCTCCATTTCTCACAGTCCTGAATGTAGCGGGAGCTTGTTTCTTGGCAGTCCTTCTGTCTTGAACTGTTAAATAAAGAGGTGAGATGGGGTGGGGGCCGGGAGGAAAGGCCAGTTGCTTGAGTGTTTATGATAAAGCCTAAATTTTATATCATTTAAAAATGTCTTGGTCTTCTGCTGCCTTGATAAATGACAATTGTGAATATGATAGTTGAACTGTCACTTTTAAAACCATTGTTATGCAAAATATAGAGGAAAAAGTTACTGGCATGGTTATTGCATATTGTTAAACTGAGAGTTAATTCATCTGTGAGTCTGCATTAATTACCTGGTGATTAACTGAGAAAAAAATGGTATGAACTTGTAAGCAAAGGTTTTTGAATATGCCTTAATTTAGAAACTGAAAACAACCCATTGCATCTGTGTGTGTGTGGGCCACTGCTTGCCCGGCTGCCCTGGTAACAGAGTTTATCTTCTTGCCTAGATGGATTGCAGCTTCTGTATGGTAGATTCTGGAGAAATTATTGTCAGCCAGGAGTCTGTCCAAACTGAAAAAGTGTGCCATACTCTGGATCTTGAAGACCCAAGTTTCAGAGCACCTGATTGCTTTTAGTAAGCTAGAAGGTAGTTTAAAATAAAGGGCCAGCAGGTGTTTGTAAGATAAACTTTGACTACAAAAATTTAGCCCTGTTCTGTTTGGTGAACTCGGTTTTCCCTGGAAGTCACTTGTGCAGTGTTAAGGGTTACATCGCCAGCAGCTGGGCCCTGGAGGAAAGTCCTGCAGTGCTGATGCAGTGTGCACTAGGACCCTGGGGATGCCTCCTGCTTGCTCCTTGCTCCCATGGTTTGGTTCCTGAGACTTAGCAGGAGTGCATAAATTCTGTTCATGTTCACAGTGAAGAACGCTGTAGCTAGTTTCCTAAGGTCAGCATAAGCAGTCAGACACAGGAATTAGTGTAGAAGGCATGTTCGGCTCACACAGACCAACCTTAAGCTGTCACCACGGTGTATCCTTTCCCACTGGAAGTATTCCAGCACTTTATTTGGGAATATAATTTCACTGGGAGACAAACTACTATCCATTTTTTTTCTTTCCTCTTTGGAATGGAGCTGAAATAGTCCATTCAACAGCCATTTTCTTTGTTGTTCAATCCTAATTTCAACAGGTCAGAGGTGTGTCCAAGCATTCTGGGTAACAGATGTGTATGTAAAGTTGATCAAAAATAGGCTATTTAGGCTCTCAGCTGTAGGTACCCCATACAGCTTGTCATGTGAGATATGTGTTCTTAAAGGGTTTGAGCTGTGCATCTTTCGTGTCACCGTTTCCATAGGCTGAGCCGTGTGCAGGAGCAGCTTTGCCAGCGTGCACAGCAGGCCTGCAGACCCGGCAGCCGCCATTGTAAGCATTGCAAACTGGAACCAGGGGTCCTAACCACTACCGTGTGTCTTTGCTTTGAGACCTTTCCTCTCCTGGGTACTGAGGTGCTATGAAGCCAACTGACAAAGATGCATCCTATGTCTTAGGCTGATGCCACTACCCAATTTCCTTCCTTTGCAACTTGAGCCATTTAAAGACCAATAAACAATGTCCTTTTTAAAAAAAGAATGTGTGTGTGTTGTTAATTGGCATTGACATTATGCAACTTTTTCCACCAGAGCATCTTTATGGGAGATTTAAGAACAACTCGTCTTCTAGAGACATTATTTGGGGAACGCTGGATTTACTTAATGATAGGTGCTGTTTAAATCAAGACTCAGAAATGGGAGGTTCCTTTGGGAGGCCCAGTGGTGTGAAGACCATGCTTTAGGCTGTCAGAAAATTCACAAGGGGCTGGGAAGGTGACTCAGTGGTAGAGTGCTTGCCTTGCATGCATGAGGCCCTGGGTTCGATTCCTCAGCACCACATAAGCAGAAAAAGC